GGAGATATTCAATACCCTCCTGGACAAGGTCCTTTGCAGCCTGCTGTAGGTGACCCTGCTTCGGCAGGGGGGGTTGGACTAGATGACCCACAGAGGTCCCTTCCAACCCCGAACATTCTGTGATTCTGTGATTTTACACAGTGAAATAATACAGACGTGCCTAGGGCCTTTCTGCAACCTGACGTTAGTTCAGAGTACTGTAACAAGTATGGAGAGAACTGCAATTTTAAACAAAAAGTGGAGTAAGATTATGCACATAATCTGCCATCAGTAGGATGTTCTGGTCTGTTATCTGAGCAATAAAACCAAACCAAAGAGAAACAGTGGGTGAATTGAAGGGAAGGGGAAGGAAAGATCTCCCTCTTGGGGCAGAGGCTGTGTTATACATGGTGGTTGTGGGTGAGAGCATGAATTCCACAAATAGACTTCAGCGTAGAGAGACCTAAGCCTCAACACAGGGCTACATTTTTTTGTCAAAGTTTGCTACTATGCAGTTGTGTGGTTTGGGTTCACCCAGTCACACAGAGTGAGGCTGGTGTTCCATGGCTGGTACAACTACCTAATCATGCTTGTGCAAAGCCAGCAAGCATAACAACTTTCATAACCATTTTCCTCAGGTGTAAATGACTAAATGGAGACGCAAAAGAATGAGGCTGGGAGCCAGTTAAAATAACATCATTCTGTATCTGAACGTCTCTAAAATGTGGTGGTGTGATTGCACTCCCAAATCATTTTCACACATAAGTTTTTTTATAACTGTGATTAGTTCCATTGCAATGTTTTGTATAGTCCAAATATTTATCAGAGTAATCAAAGATTACGATGCAATAAAAATAAAGAGAACTTTAGTGCTTATTGAACAGATGAAATATCCCATTTCTAGTGGCAAGTTATGGGTTTAATTTTTGCAAAAACCTTTACATGGCTTACTTTGTTCCCAGTGTTTATGTTTTATGAGGCTCTTGTTCCTAGGAGGTAAATCCTTCAGTCAAATGGACTTTGTTACTCATGCCAAAGTATTTCTTTTTGTCTTTGACATCTGGTGTGAGGATAGATAGCCCTATGAAAGAGCTGTTCACGGTAAAAATGCCCTGCATGAATCTCCTCCCTGTACAAAAATCTTGGTATTATCATTTAAATGGTGCAATTACGATCTGTGCTTGGAATATGTGCCTCCTTTGTAAATCACGGAAGAAGTCATATGTGGTAGATTTCTGAAGTATCTGAGCATAGAACTGAAGAGCCTGATTAAAACTGTAATGCATGCAAAAAGCAGCAGCATCGCCTGCTCTGTAGCCACCCTACTGTGCTCCATATATTGAGGGCTAATGGGATATAGACTGCAGAGCTGCCCAGAGGCCCTTGGAAAGGTAGATATACTTGGGACAAGAAAAATTTAGGAGTCCTTGTCAGCCAGAAATAGAAAATATAAGATGCCAAAGTATATGGGCAGTTTGCTTGGTATCCACAACAAAACAGTAAGGTGTTTGGTGGAATTAAAAGATGGTGAATACAGAGTTGATTGAAAAAAAGGAGCATCTTTGTGTAATTTGTACTTAACCTAACTTATTACCACTAGGAATTGCTGAAGTCAAGCTGAGAAGATGTATAATGGACAGGTAGAAGACTTTCCAATGTTATAATGGTTAATGCTAACAAATATTGGAAAGAATATTAAGTCTTATCTGTCATTAATGCAGACACCATCTTTAAGATGAGACCTAGTGTAGTGGCATCTTGTCCTCTGTCAGCTTTTCCTAACCACTACTGGAGACAAGATAGGACCAAAATGTTCAGCTACAGTTTAGAATTTAGTAATTCAGACTGAGGAAAAAGAACAGCTCAAAAAATAGATCTGAGTTCCTATTCAGGGAGAAGGACTACAGAAATTAGTTACTTGAGGAAGAGAAGAAGTGGGAGAAAGGTAAAGCATGTTATGCAGCATGCCTGGTGCCGGGTCTGAGATTGTCCATGCTGGCCCTTACTGCTCTAAATTCTCGGTCATCTCATGCTTTCTACTGACACAGCTAAAATAGCTCTGTTCAGAATTAATGTAGCCGAAGTGATGCATTCAACAACACTAGAAATCTAAACAAGTTCCCTCTGGAAGGCTCCTGAACGTTTTTACTAAGAAAGTATCCACAACATTCTGTAAGGATGAGGGGTGGAGGGAGAGGGAAAAAAGGTGCCCCTTATTGCAACCTATAAATTGGTAGTTGATATTTCATTTAGGTATCTGTTGAACAACACCTAAAAGGGAGAATCAGTACCTAAAAGGGAGAATAGCTGTCCTTGAAAATTTTTCTCAAGGATCATCAATTTCACAGCAAATCGTTATAAATATATGTTTAAAAAGCATTTAACAGCAATCTCTTCTCAGGATACATTGAGGCCAGTAAAGCTGTTCTTTTTGTCCACTGGCAATGACATGGCAGAGTAAGTTTCCATAAGCAATTTGGTCAGAACAAGCCAAATCAAAGGCATACATCAAATAACTTTTAGGAATTAAGTTACATATGGGTGACTGAGAAAATAAAACAAGCTATAAAAAAAAAAAAGTTAAAGATCGAGATAAAAACAAATTTGTGTATATTATTATAATGAAGCTGGCAACAAAAACTGCCCCAGGCCCTATGGGAGACTGAGAAAGAACTACTCTAGCTGGTAGAACTAGGCTTTCTATAAATTCCAAATTATTTATATTATTATTATTTAAAGGAGTATTTGAATTCTGGACTTCTGATTTGAAAATAATTATTTCACTTAATTACATAATCATAAAATTATAATTGTATTTAATTTTTCCCTTTATATTCTACCAACATAAAAGATTAAGTTACATTCAAATGTGTTGAGTCAAGGGACTAAAAGAAATACCAAAGGCACAATGG